GACGGCCAGTTAGTTATGATGGTCTTAAAAGCATGAGTAGAAGGCTTTTAACAACCGAAGACACTCCTTATACGGAATAAGTGGAGACCACAGCCTTTGACGCTGCTGGCGCCCGGGCATCCAGATGGCCCACTGACAGCCCCGGGCTGACTTGCTAGGTAAAGCATTGGCAGGGCATCAGCCATTCATTTGTCGAAGAACACATTTCTAGTTGACAAGAGCTTTACATGGTAAGCTAGTAGATGAGGGTTGGGCCTTTTGGATATGCAGCTAAAGCGTTTTACGCAGCGCTTGGTCCTCCATAGACTGGGACCTTGCTGCGGCCCTCTCCTCCAATGTTCCCCCTACATTCCTTTACGTATTGACAGTTTTATCACGGGCTTGAGAATTTTGAGTTCGTTTTCTTCGCTGCGCTCGACTACCAATGCATAGCACAGGAAATGCTTCAGCTCCCGCTCCGCCAGAGCAGAGGAGCAGGCCAGGGTCCGAGATCTTGTTGCTGCGGTTCACAGGCGACTCTTCCTTGTGGAATAGCGGGACCATAACACCGCATATCCCTCGCAGGAATGAACTTCCTTTGCTCTCCGGGTTAAAGCAATGGAATCGCTACCGTCGCTTTCACCTGCATCCTGTGTTTTTTGTAGCCCTGGCTGCTTTCGCAACGACCTATTTACTGCTGCGTTGTGCCCATCACTTGGGGGACATAAATAAGCCGAATGGAGTCCTGAGGTCGCTTTCCGCGGTTGAGAAGGATGATGAAGGCTGGGGGGCTGCTTGTTCCTTTGAAAGGCACGAAGACCCTGCACGTGCTGCTGTAGAAGACGAACTTGACGAAAAGCAAGTGCTACACAGAGTCGAACGCTACACACATAATTTGGCTAGGATGATGGAAGAAAACAAGGAAAGGTTGCAGTCGATGCCTGCGTCTATTTCCGCGAAGGCCTTCACGAATCTGTTGCGGTTCTGCACAGCGGAACTGGCTGCCCTGTGTTCNCGTCTATTTCCGCGAAGGCCTTCACGAATCTGTTGCGGTTCTGCACAGCGGAACTGGCTGCCCTGTGTTCGTTGCTGGAGACGAAGCAGCGACAGCCGGTGAAAGAAACAATCGAGATCCTTGTGCCGATCGTAAACTTTTTTAAAGCCCATGCCAAACGTAATACACCATGCCTGACGACCAAGCGCCACATCACCTGCATGCGTGGTTTTTTGCAAGAGCTGCAGGGAATGGACTACGGAGGGTCCTCATTAGCTCCTCGCGAGCGTTGGCTTAAACTTGACCAGCTGCTCACGTTGCAAGAGCTGGCGCTGACCAAGGTACAGTACGGCATGCAGTTTTTGGCTGACCGTTGCCAAGAGGAGGGAGAGCCATTATCGGAAGAGGCTGAACAGGAGTATATGCGTCCGCTGTACAAGATATCCGACTCGCGCAAAGACCACGTGCTTAGAGACGAAATTTTAGGGAGGTGGCTAGTCAACAAGCTCAGTAAAGTCCGGCGTTTTGGCCTGGTTCCTCCCCAGAAACTTACAGAAATTCTGAATGGGCCCCAGTTGCCCTTTGAAGAACTTCGAAAGCAGCTCGAAGATATCACCTTCGGCCAAACGCAACAGCAAATTAGTCAGCGAGCCTCGGAGCAAACTGCCTCCGCGGCAGGTAGGCAGGCGGTGGAGGCTTCCCTCTCAACGGATGTTCGTGCTGGACAAGCGGATAGGACCTCAAGCTCTCCCAAGGGCTCGAGTTCTCCTGAAGCCTCTGTAGAACATGGGCAGCCTGCTGGCGTTGAAAGGTCTGCGGCTCTGGCATCAAGAGACTCCGGCGCCTCCGGAGGGCCTGAACCGTCTGAAAGATTGGATTTGGCTGGGAGAGCGGACGCTTTCGCGTTCGCTGGTGCTGGGGGTGCGTCTTGGAGTGTTCCGGCTGCTTCTCACCAGGTCCCTGAAATCCATGTTTCCCCGTTGACGTCGGGTTCCTATGGGGATTCGGAGACCTTTAGTGCTGCTGAAGCCTCTGCTTCGTTGGGAATGCTTCCACCACCGGATTCTGGGGCGGCTCGACCCATGACCTTTTCAGGACAATCGGCAAAACCAGATTCAGCAGAAGTGTCTGCCAGGTTTTGGACGCCCNACCCATGACCTTTTCAGGACAATCGGCAAAACCAGATTCAGCAGAAGTGTCTGCCAGGTTTTGGACGCCCCAGTTGACAACAACTGCCGAGCGTTTCGGGCAGTCTCCCGCCTCACCGCCTCAGGTGTTCATCCCTTCATCTGCAGGAAGTGCGGATTTCACAAGGCGTGTTTGGGCATTTGATGCAAATGTACACTCTCAAACACCACGAATGCCACAAAGGCAACTAGCAAGACATCCTCAATTCTGGACCGGTGGTCACGAAGAGGGAGCTGAACTAGGCCAAGACGACGGGGTATCGCGAAGCGACCCAGAATATCGGGGATTCTGGAGTCCGCATACACATGTCTTTCCTTCGCACCCCGCGTATCCTGTAGAGTTGTGGGGAACTAATCGTCCGGCGGAACGAGGCGCTCACCAATATGACCACGGCCCCTTTGGCTTTCCCGGCCTCTCCACTGCATGGCATTTTCCCGGAGTACCACCAGCGGAACGACCCCATTTGGAGCCTGGTATGACTGATCATCCTCTAGCTGCAGCCGGGAGCTCGACGTGGCATGGCATGCAGCCTGAGTTTTCCCGACGGGGACGTTCGGGGGACGAAATGCCTCGGACTCCACCCATAGGCATGCCAGTAGGAGAGCCAGAAAGAGGGATACGAGAACAACACGGAGCATCAGCGGCTGGCGTAGGAGCAGCTCTTTTCTCCCCAGATTCTGCAGATCCTAGCAAGAGCCTGCGCTTACTTCAGAAATCCAGCGACGAGGCGGACTAGATATACATTTTGAGCTCTGGTGTCTTGATGCAAACTAAGACAAGTTGATAAGAGGCTCGACGCCCTTGGTCTAGACCTGTTGAACACGGAGGGAGTGGGCCGACTCCTAGGTGCCTTCCTGATTCGGGGGACGAAATGCCTCGGACTCCACCCATAGGCATGCCAGTAGGAGAGCCAGAAAGAGGGATACGAGAACAACACGGAGCATCAGCGGCTGGCGTAGGAGCAGCTCTTTTCTCCCCAGATTCTGCAGATCCTAGCAAGAGCCTGCGCTTACTTCAGAAATCCAGCGACGAGGCGGACTAGATATACATTTTGAGCTCTGGTGTCTTGATGCAAACTAAGACAAGTTGATAAGAGGCTCGACGCCCTTGGTCTAGACCTGTTGAACACGGAGGGACAATTTGGAAGACTTGGGATCTTGCGAGCAAGTCGCTGGAACGCACAATGCCCCAGCTGGCGTCCAAAGACGGCCGTAGCAGCGACTGGAGAATGTAGGGCAACGCAAACGGAAGTAGAAATAGGACTTCTATGTGTGATTTGGGGCGCTTGTTTGTCCAGTAGCCCGTACGGAAGGAAAGCCTTGCGGGCGACGGGCGGGATGCTATCGCTCTCTCTGACACTAAAACAATAAATTAGCTTTTTTTTGGCAGTTGCCACTTGCATATTAACTAGGGCAAATATACCAATTTGCTTACTAAAGAAGCCCTTCGGGTCGATATTCGGTATATGAATATTTCAGGCGGCACTAGGCCGTTCTGCATCTGAAGATATACCGGTGACCAATTAGGTGTTGTGGTGTGCATATATTTCGGTGAAGCTGAAGATATACCAGTGACCAATTGGGTGTAGTGGTGTGCATTTTTTTCCTTGAAAGCAAGCAGTTGTGGTCCATTGCGGATGTAGGTGTGGGTCCGTCCTTTCCGACGTTCTCTGCAATGGTGAGAGACAGGGGATGCTACGCCACTAGAAAGCGAATACAAGAACAAATACGACAGAATGATAAGGTGTGAGAATGCATTGAGAACACTAATTAAATTTAACATTCGTAGCCGGCGGTTAACCGGATTACGGACGGTTCAAGGATAATGCGCGGATGTGATCGTGACGCCTATGCGCCATGATTGAGAGAAAACGCAGGAACTCTGTGCATCTGAACAAAGCCAAGATGCGCAATTGTCCAATATTTCTGTTCATCACTTTAATTTGGGGTATTTAACTCGTTTTATCACATTTCACCGAATACCACCAGCAGCATGCGGTCAGCCAGCGGTCGTGGGGCCTTCGAACGCGTTTCTCTGTCCTTCCATTTCGGAAAGAAGGGGTGATTGCTGCTGCAGCTGACGAAGTAGATTTAATATTATGCACTGTAACCTTCAGGGATGATGCGCAGACAGACGTCTTCCCTGAGCTGTGTCCCTCTGTGTCTGTGACCAGCAACCACCCACTTATGGCCATCATTTCCGCTCGATATTCTTTAACAACGTCTTTAATGACTCTATTCCTTCCTTTTCGTAACTTTGGGTCTTAAAATCGCAGCACCGGACAGAGCATATCGGCGAGAGGTTCGGCGTCACTGCATCGTAGCAGCAGAGCCTCAGCCTAAGCAGCTGTCGCAGCTGGGTTTTCGCCTCTTTAAGACTCAACTCCATGCTTCTTTTGAATAGTGCAAGAAATCACTTAGTTCCTTTTCCTCTGTCCTTACACCTGACACAACTGCCGTGTGTGTTGTGGTTCCTAGAAGAAGCGAGACGGTGAAAATGGCGCGTATTCATACTTTAGCAGATCTAGAGAGACAGGACAAAGCTGCGCAGGGGGATTCACAGGCCTACGGGGTTGGCTTATCATCTCTTCCCTTCCCTTCTGGGGATGCCGCTCCTTCGGGACGGAGTCTCATGGAGTGCCTGCTGCCGAAATTCAGCGCTAAGCACTGCGTCTTCATTTTCGCTGTCATCGAGCTTGTTGTTTATATTGCAACAGTCATATATGGACGGTCTCCAGATAACCCTACGAGCCCTTCTATGTGAGCAGGGATGCGGTAGGCGCCTCAAGCGTGCTGATTTATTCTTGTTGCTCTCACTAATAGCTCTCCCTGGGGCATCTTGAGTTAGTTTGATCTCTTATTCCTCCCTTCTGCTTTGCTACTACGCGGCCCCGGTGTATTCATCATATTTATCGCAGCGATGCATTTGAGTTTCTTCTGATTTCTTGCAGTTCTTCGCTTGTGACTTTCGGCGCCAGCATTCCGAGTG